AACTACTCATTTTCTCTCTTACAGCTGAATCATCAACTTTAAATATATATCCATAATTAGACTACTTCTCACCACCACCCTTACCAATCACCTCTTGCCTAGAATACTGCCATAATTTAATTGGTTTTTCTACCTTTGCTTTGATCCTCTGCTGTCTATTCTGTTTTTCTTTTTCTTTTTGCTTTAAAAATAAATAAATAAATAAACTTTTTGTTCATATTATTACAAAAGTTCCTCATTCCCCCCCCACACACCAGGTTCCTACCCCACCCTCTGTCCTTTTCCCACCCCCCATTGTCCTCATCTATAGGTGCACAGTTTATGTTCAGTCTCTTCCCACACCCCCCACTCCTCTTTTCCCTAAGAATCATAGTCCACTCCCCTTCCATATCTCTGATTCTATTATATTCAACTGTTAATATTGTTCATCAGGTTTTTTAATTCCCTTGGTTTTTATTTTTTGTTATTTATTTATTTATTTTATTGGCTTCCAAAGGGGAGTTTAAGGTCAAAAGGAGTTTCGGGTGTACCCAGATCCTATTCATCAAAATCTGGGTAAGCTCCTTATTTTTTTGGTACAAGATTTAGCATATCAAGACCGAGTGAGTCAAGGTCCTATTTGTTCCTCATTCCAAGCATATGGATTAAGAAATCAGCACTGATTCTGCCAGTGCCCTCAGGCTCAGCTGATAAGAATTAAAAGAATGTCCATGTGCCTTCTCAGGCGGCTCTCTACATATCACCCTTTTTTATTAATTAAAATAAAATTTAAACATCAATAATAGGGCTCTAAAATTAAAAACAATTGCAACCAATGCCAATGCAAAAACTAAATTACATACATGTTATTTTCAAAACTTGAATATCAAGAGCAAAACTCTGGCTATTAAATAATAACAACAATGCCAATGCAAAACAACAAAATGAGAAATCAGAATTATGGACATATTAATATTTTTAGCTACTAAATGAGTCTCTTTTGTTGCTGGTGTAGATTTACTCAGAGTCCTTGGACTTGCTGCACAAGACTTTGCAGAAGACTGAAAGCTAACAGATGCTAGCATGAGCAGGAACATGATTAAAGAAGTAGCTTCCACTTCAGTCTTTAATTTCTTCAGATGACTCCATGTTGGCACCTCAGTCCCTTGAGTAGCCTTCAGTTTTCTTCTCCCACTTTGCTGTCGTCTGGGCAGCTCTCAGTCCTTTTGGGTAAAGGGACACAGGAGCTTCTCTGAGTCCATTCTGATGACGGACATAACACTCTGGCACCCGAATTGGCTGCATTGCTCCTTCTTTCCTTTCATTTTAAACTCAGGGTTCAACCCCACAACACTCCGGGCCTGGCTGCTCCGGGCCTGAATGCTGCTCCAGGCCTAGCTGCTGCTGCTCAGGGCCTGGCTGCTGCTGCTCCGGGCCTGGATGCTCCAGTCCTGGCTGCTCTGGGCCTGGTGCTGTCTATTCTTAACACAGCAGCCAAATAGTCCTGTCTAGAGCATGTCACTTCTATACTGACAACTCTCCAATTGTTTCTCTTTTTATTCAGAATAAAAGCCAAAGATCTTATGAGGCCTTGCCTTCACCCCATTGTATCTATGACTGTCTTCACATTCATCCATGTTCACTCTTCACTGGCCATTGTTATTCCTCCAGTTCACTAGTCTCACTGCTCTCTGGGCCTTTGCTCTGCCTTGAATGATCTCTTAGACCCTTACTCCTTTACTCTTTTTGGATTCTCAAGTCACCTCACTGAATTCTTTCTTGGTCAATCCACCACCATCCCCACTCCACTGACATTTTCTATCTTCCTTTCCTCCTGATTTTTTTTTCTTGTGTATTTATCACTATCTGGAATCCTTAGGATTTATTTATTTCATTTATTCTCTGTCTTCGCTTTTAAAATTTAAGTCCCTGCCCTGGTCGGTATTGCTCAGTGGTTAGAGTGTCTGTCCACACACCCAAGGGTCATGAGTTCAATTTCCTGGCAAGGCCATGCACATTCCAGAATTGTAGGTTCACTCCTCACACCCTAGTTGGAGTACATTTGGGAGGCAATCGATTGATGTTGTCTCTCACATCAATGTTTCTCTCTTTCTCTCCTTTCCATTCTCTGAAAAGCAATGAAAAAAAATATCCTGTAGTGAGGATTACCAACAAAAATTTAAATCCTTAAAAACAATGATTTTAGTCTTTTGTTCACTACTGTATACCCAGACCTGGAATTTTTTTCTGACTAGATCAATATACAACAGGGGAAAATTGATCTGTCTTTTCTTCCTCAAAACAAAATACCTGGAGAGGGCAGAGAATTTCTGATAGCCTAAGGAACAATAGGAAGCATGGAAGAGGAAGGAGTGTTTACACAGTTTGAAGGGAGCCTGGAGAGAAGAGACTGCTCAGAACACAAGCCAGCCTCCATCAGAGCATCAGGATTCAGTGATCCCCTGTCTCTCTGGCTTGAACCAGGACCTCTCCTCAGGAGTTATAACAACTATTATAACTGTAGTTTTGACTTCCTGGCACTGTCCCTGGTGCTTTCCATGTGCATCAAGTACAAATCCATAGTCTTAATGCAGCTCAATCTTTCAATGGGGTCACAGGAAGTTCAAAAAACACATTTTAAGAGCCAAAGTGTAACTTCACAATATTTCAAGGGTTTTGGGGTTATCATTTATATATATATATTATTTTAAATAAATTTTTATTGTTTATATTATTACAAATGTTCCTTCCCCCCCAACCCCCCACCATTGCTCTCCTCCACCAGGTTCCCACCTCACCCTCTGCCCTTTCCCCACTCCCCATTGTCCTCATCCATAGGTGCACAGTTTATGTTCAGTCTCTTCCCACATCCCCCTCTCCCCTTTTCCCCAAGAATCGTCAGTTCACTTCCCTTCCATACCTCTGATTCTATTATATTCAACAGTTAATATTGTTGCTCAGATTTTTTTTTTTTTTAGTTTCCTTGGTTTTTAGATTCACTTGTTGATAGTTACGTATTTGTTGTTCATGATTTTTATCTTTATTTACTTTCTCTTCTGAAAGAACCCCCTTCAGCAATTCATATAATTCTGGTTTGGTGGTGATGAACTCCTTTAGCTTTTTTTTTTATTAGTGAAGCTCTTTATCTGACCTTTGAATCTGAGTGATAGCTTTGCTGGATAGATTATCTTTGGCTGTAGGTTCTTGCTATTCATCACCTTGAATATTTCTTGCCATTCCCGTCTGGCCTGCATGGTTTCTGTTGAGAAATCAGCTGACAATCGTATAGGTGCTCCTTTATAGGAGCTTTGCTCTTGCTGCTTTTAATATTCTCTCTTTGTCTTTTGCTCTTGGAATTTTAATTATGATTTGTGTTGGTGTGGTCCTCTTTGGATTCCTTTTGTTTGGAGTTCTGTGCGCTTCCTGGACTTGTAAGTCTAATTCTTTTACCAGGTGTGGGAAGTTTTCTGTCACTATTTCTTTCAGTATGTTTTCAATATCTTTCTCTCTCTCATCTTCTGGGACCCCCATAATTCTGATGTTGGTTAGCTTGAAGTTGTCCCAGAGGTTTCTTACATTATCTTCAATTTTCTGGATTCTCTTGCCTTCTATAATAGCTTCTGTGGAGGAGTGTCTTCTGGCTCTTTATGTTTCAAATCTTAGACTTGATTCTTGTAATCTTCCATTCTGTTTTTAAGACTCCGTATAATATTTTTTATTTCAGACAATGTATTCTTTATTTCTTGTTGATCCCTTATCATTTCTTGTTGATTTCTTATTAATTCTAGTTGATCTCTTTTCATATCCTCATAGGTCTTATCCATCTTTTCTAGGAAATTCTTGAAAAACCTTATAAGTGTAGATTTGAACTCTATATCCAGTCTCTTTTTGTCCTCAATTTCTTTTGTTTGTAATCTATTTCGTTGTCGCATTTCGCAGCTACAGATGGGGTGAGGTTTCAGGGTGGAGCCTACAGCCTTGGCTTCCGTCAGCCCCGCCCTATGCGGCTTCTGGGCCTCAGGGTCCTTCAGTACTCGTTTCAAGCGCCTCTGAGAAAAGGTGTCCTCGATTTTCGCCTGCTACCAAACAGTCTAGGCTTTCCCCCAATGAGCCCGATATTGGGGTTCAATTCAGTTGGAAGTGGGATTGGAGGTGGCGTTCAGAGCAGTCTGGAGCCCGTGTCTCCTTCCCGCCAGGGCAATTCCTCGGCACAGCCAACCGTCCCTTCTCTGCACGCAATGTGCGCGCCTCAGGGACCTCCTTTCGCCGCTCCCCTGGGGTTCCGCCTCACAGCCCAGCTCCCTCTGGATGAGCCTGGGTCCCCGGGGCCTGGCCTAGAACTGGGGTTCAGAGCAGTAAGAACTGGGGCCCAGCACAGTCGGAGCTTTTATCTCCTTCCCGCTAGGGAACGCCAGCCAGGCACTCAGCCTCCCTCCTCTCCGGCTCTGTTGTCTCCGCGCGCGCAGCGTGTCTCCGTACCTTACTTAGGCTTTTACAGTTCCTCTGTGCTTCCTTCTGGTTTTCCCCTTGCTTCTTGTTGTAGAATTTCCAGTCAGTCGACTTTCCTGTAGTTCTGGGTAATGTCCATTTTATATTTTAGTTGTATTTTATTGAAATTTTTGTGTGAGGCTGCGGCTAGGTGTTTACCTGGGCAGCCATCTTGGATCCTCCATTCTACCTCCATTTATATTTTTTTATCTCAAGTATTTTATTGTAGTTTTTGAACACTATGAGAGGTATTCTGAAACCACAGCAACTCTCTCTAAAATGCCTATTTCAGATCCCATCAGCTTCCCTCACCATTGCTCCATGCCGCTCTCCTAAACGCCTCCAGAATTCCTTCCCAGCCTTGGTTTGGGCCCATTATTCTTCCCTCTCATCATCTTCTGATCTCAATCCCCAAAGTTCAAAAGGTTTAGGAGGTGATCAACTTGACAGTACTAATACAAGAATAATGTTCTGTCCTACCACAAATGTGGCTCTCAAACCATGAGGTGAGTGTCAGTTTGATCACTTTATAGAGGAGCGGCTGAACCCGAGGAACTTGTGACTTGCTGGAACGGTGGCTCCAGCACTCTCCACCAACACCCCACTTTGCCAAGGTGAGTTAGAGTCAAGGATCCGGACACCACTTCTTCCACATCAGCCAACCATCTGCCCTGAGGAGTGAACAAGCAGCCTCTGTTCCAGGACCCACCAGAGTCTTCAGCCCCCTGAAGAATGTCCAAGCAGGATTTGAGGTAAAATCTGGCTAATATAACCCTCATCTCTGGGCTGAGATTAGGGAAAGAGCTGCTGTGGGGATAACACATCACTAAGCTTCCCTTCCATATTCCTAAAGTATTAGCTGAGTCCTGGGGAGCCCATTTCCTATATATAATACAAAAAAATTACTTATTTATAGATAAATATACTTAAATATAATTTGTAATTATTTGGTCTGCATCTCTCCAGCCTGCAAAATTTAAATCTATTATCTGCTCTTACCACTTCCAGGTAATCTACCTACAAATATTTTACTCATGCCCTAACCAGTTTGGCTCAGTGGATAGAGCGTCGGCCTGGGGACTAAACTAAAGGGTCCCAGGTTCAATCCCAGTCAAGGGCATATACCTTGGTTGCAGGCACATCTCCAATAGGTGGTGTGCAGGAGGCAACTGATTGATGTTTCTCTCTCATCAATGTTTCTAGCTCTCTATCCCTCTCTCTTCCTCTCTGTAAAATATCAATAAAATATATTAAAAAAATATTTTGCTCACATCTGCCTCTGGCCAGAAAGATAAGAAAATGTTACTAGGATCCATTTTCTATTTTCACAATTAAAAAAAAAATGAAAGGGACTTTTCTTTACTTTTGACTAGATAATATAAATTAACCCGGGTTATATCATGCTGACTAGAAACTCTCATATCAGAAAAGTGTGTTCTCTTATTAATAATAGCTATCATTTACCAAATGCATGAGCCAGTTGTACAGAGGGGAAAACAAAGGATCAGTGAAGTGAGATAATTTGCTTAACTAACAAAATAACCAGGATTCAAAATCAGTTCTGTGACCTTAAGTCTGAAATAAAAGTTCAGTGTGTTTGAAAATGTGTCCACATGTGGCCCTATGGATGTAGATAAGCCAGAGAACCTTGGGTGGAACTCTGAAGGGGATACTCTGAGCACCCTAGTGGGGCCCCAGGGGGCAGAGTTGGTACTCTGGCATCCTTCCCAGAAGCCTTGGCAGTGTCCTAGCTTTATGAACATCTCCCTGTGGGATTAGGGCAAGATGCTTCAGCCCTGGTGAGGGTAGTGCTCCTGAAGGAAGTGGCCATGCCCTCCGGGTCCTGGCCTCTAACTTGTGTCTGGAACAGAACTAGGTGAGGGAGGCATGACAAGTTGACCAGAAGGGTTGCTGGAGTAGGGGCAGTAGGCTGAGAAGAGGGATCCATGGATGCCTGTGGGGCTGAAGTCAATGGAGCTGCCATTCCTGTGCTTGCTCTGCTGTTTCTGCTTTCCTGCTGGCCTCCCTCCATTTCCCCATCCAGTCCTGGCTATGGGTAGCTCTCTGCAGCCAGCCTCCATCCATGCTCCTATGCCTGTGTTTCCCTCACTCACTCACTCTGTGCCTCCCTCCTTCCCATGGCCCAGTGTCACAGCAAAGGTCATCAATGGAGGCATAGCAGGGTTCCTGGGGGTGACCTGTGTGTTCCCCATTGACTTGGCCAAGACTCGACTTCAGAACCAGCATGGAAAAGATATCTACAAAGGAATGTAGGTATTTGTGAAGAAGCGGGTAAGAAGAGGGAGCTCCCAGAGGAGGGATGTAGGGAGTAAGATTAGGGTGTGAGGGAAGGAGGTGGAGGTGGTCAATTGGGGTGAGCCCAACAGGATTAGAGCATTGGGTGAAGGCAAGGGGGTTGTGGTACAGCCTCCTGTTCACTACTAATTTCCCTTTCTGGCCTCTCCTTCTAGGATAGATTGCCTGATGAAGACGGCGAGGGTAGAGGGCTTTCTGGGCATGTACCGAGGTAGGCTCATTCATTAGGTGTCCTGGGGGAGGCCTGGCTTGTGAGGCCAAGTGAGGACAGAGGGTATAGCAAAGGGGAATTAGATTTTTGTGAATTTATAAAACATTGGAAAGCAGCATTCTTTCTGCCCAGGGAACTCCTAGGATGGGCCTGGGCTACCAGGTGCTTTTGGACCACATGTTTCTTGGTAAACACAGTAGTTACAGTGAGGTTAGGGGAATGCCAATGAATACACTGAAGAGCCCAGGAGCCCTAGGTTTCATCCTGGCACAATTACTGCCTCACTGTGTGATGTTGGAGGCAAATGAACCCCCAAACACCCATTCTCCCCCCCGCCCCCGCCCCTCTCTCAGGCTGTCAAGGCATCCAACCACCAATAGCAAAAGAGGTAGAGGCTGACAAGGACAGAGAATGGAAAGGGTTTGAGCTCCTGGAAAGGAGTTACTGAGTGGCTCTTCCTTGACACGGCCAGTGCTGTCCCTGTTTATCCTGCAGTGTCCCTATCCAAGATGGCACAACTATGGTTATGCCTTGGAAAATTGATACAAAACTGGGGTTGAGAAGGAAGTGATATGATAGTACCCCTTAGGAACAAAGTAAAAAAAAATCTCTATGACCACAGAGATGCCAGTGGCAAACACAGCACAGAAATTAAAACCAATCTCTGTCACCCAGGGCCTTTTTATTGGGGATTAACTTGGGGAACTGTTTATTTAGCATCAGAGACAGGCAACATTAGCAAGGACAGATTTCCTAATAACTGCACCAATGAGTCCATAAAGGAAGTAAATACACTGAAAAAGGAAAATGTGGTGGGAAGATAGTGGAAGCAGGGAGATGAAAGGAAATTTATTTCAATAAGAAGCAGACAAACCCTCCTTGACCCCAGAGACCATGTTTACTTCAGAAACAACTTCTGAGAGGAGGTTATCTACATGAGTGGCATGTTCCTGGCACTGGTACCTCGGAGATGGCCTTACCTCTTCAGCTTTGTTGTTTACTTCCAGGAGCTGCAGTGAACCTCACCTTGGTCACTCCAGAGAAGGCCATTAAGTTGGCAGCCAATGACTTTTTCCGACAGTTGCTCATGGAAGATGGGTACGGCCAGGTGGGGGCTGGGGATGGAAATCCTTCACTGCATGTCTACTTTTTTTGGAAGATAGCAGGTAGAGGATTGCAACTCTGCCTCAGTTTACTTGTGTACATTTTTATAAATATGTATACACAAGTGGCTGAGGGTTAATGTGTTTTAGCAGATGAAAAGTAAAGGGAGAAAATGAGCTGGTATACTTTGGAAGTTCCAGATAGATAGATAGATAATAGATATACCATATAGAAAATATATACATCAACTACCGTAGCTGATGAATATTTTTGCAGTTTTGAGATATAATTGGCATTCAACACTGTATAAGTTTAAAGTGTACAGCATAATGACTTGACACACATATATTATGAAGTGATTACTGCAATGTTAATATCTAGCCCCTCATAAAGTTACAAATTTTTCCCTCTTGTGATGAGAACTCTTAGCAACCACAGAGCAGTGTTTAACTATAGTCATCATGTTGTACATTACATTCCCAGTACTTATTATAACTGAAAGTTTATGCCTTTTGATCACCTTCATTCAGTTCCTTTTTCCTCACTTCCATAACTAAAACTTTGATCTCTTTTGCTATGAGTTTGTTTTCAAGTTTTGGCTCTTGTAAATAATGCTGCAATGAACATGAGGGAACAGAGGTCTTAACAGTGATTTGTCCTTTTTGGATATATACCTAAAAATGGGATTGCTGAATCATATGGTAATTCTATTTTTAATTTTTTGAGGAAACTCCATACTATTTTCCATAATGGCTGCACCAGGCAATCCCATCAATACTGAGTGCACAATACTGAGGGTTTCTTTTTCTCCACATCTCGCCAACATTTATCATCTCATCTTTGTTATGACATTCTAACAGGTGTGAGGTGATGTCATTATGGCTTTGATTTACATTTTTCTGCTGATTAGCGATGTTGAACACTTTTCGTGTACCTGCTGGCCACTTAAATATATTCTTTGGGAAAATGTCTATCCATTTCTTATTGGATTATTTTTTAAATTATTGAGTTGTATAAGTTATTTTTTATTTTATTTTATTTATTTTTTAAAATAAATCTTTATTGTTCAGATTATTACAGGTGTTCCTACTCCCCCCCCCCCCCCCTTAGCTCCCTTCCACCTGATTCCTTACCCCCTCGCCTGTCTTCATCCATAGGTGTAAGATTTTTGTCCAGTCTCTTCCCGCACCCCTCAGAACCCTTTCCCCCTGTGAACTGTTAGTCCAACCCCTTTCTATGTCCCTGATTCTATTATACTCACCAGTCCATTTTGTTCTTCAGATTTTTTTTTTTAATTCTCTTGATTTTTAGATTCGCTTGTTGGTGCCATTTCCCCGAAAATAAGACAGTGTCTTATATTAATTTTTTCTCCCAAAGTTGCACTAGGTCTTATTTTCAGGGGATGTCTTATTTTTCCATGTGCTAGATCTTATTTTCAGAGGATGTCTTATTTTCGGGGAAACATGGTAGGTATGTATTTGATGCCTTTATGTTGTTTATAATTTTTTACCTTTACTTTTACCTTTTTCTTCTTCTTCCTCTTCTTAAAGAATACCCTTCAACTCCTTTAACTTTTTCTTGTCTGTGAAGCTCTTTATCTGACCTTCAATTCTGAATGATAGCTTTGCTGGGTAGAGTAATCTTGGTTGTAGGTTCTTGTTGTTCCTCATTTTGAATATTTCTTGCCACTCCCTTCTGGCTTGCATAGTTTCTGTTGAGAAATTAGCTGAGTCATATGGGTACTCCCTTGTAGGTAACTAGTTGTTTTTCTCTTGCTGCTTGTAAGATTTTCTCTTTATGTTTTGCTCTTGGCATTTTAATTATGATGTGTCTTGGTGTGTTCCTCTTTGGATTCCTCTTGTTTGGGGTTCTGTATGCTTCCTGAACTTGTAAGTCTATTTCTTTAACCAGGTAGGGAAAGATTTCTGTCATTTTTTTCAATAGGCCTGCTCGCTCTCCTCTGGCACATCAAAAATCCAGATGTTGGTATGCTTTCAGCTGCCCCAGAGGTTCCTTACACTGTCCTCACACTTTTGGATTCTTCTTTCTTTCTGCCTCTCTGGTTGGGTGATTTTTTCTTCCTTATATTCCAGAACTTTGGTTTGATTCTTGGGGCATGTTGATCTATAGCTGAGTTTCTGTATATTCTTTATTTCAGACTGTGTATGCTTAATTTCTGGCTGGTCCTTTTCCTTTTTTTTTTTTTTTTTTTTTTTTTTGGTATTCTCATTAAGGTCCTTGAAGGTCTCAACAAGCTTCTTGGAGGTCTCATCAAGTTTCTCAAAGGTTTTTAGAAGATTCTTGAGTAATCTTATAAATGTGATTCTGAACTCTGTGTTGTCTAATAGTTTACTCTCCTCCATCTCTCCCATTTGTGTCATGCTTCTGTGTCTCCTCATTTTGGCTGCCTCCCTGTGTTGATGGAGTGGCTTTGTGTGGTCGGTGACTTATAGGGGTCAGTAGCTCAGCTTCCCCAATCACCTGAGGTGGTCGCTTTTGGTATATCCCTTTGTGGGCTGAGTGTAATTAAGCCTTGATTGCTGTTGGTACACTGGGAGGAATTGACCTCCAGGCCAATTGTCTGTGAGGACCTGCTGTGTCTATAAAGGAAGAACTGCTGTGCTGGAGACACGCCTTGTTTCAGTGGGGCTTTGGTACTCACTGAGTTCGTCTCCCGAATGTGTCACTTATGGGTATGAGGGGTTGAAACTGAGCACTGAAACACTGCTTCTGGGTCTCCAATGGGGTGTAGCTCAGCTACTGTCTGAGGCCACCCTGCAGGAGCTACAGTGTGAACCACAGTCCTGTCCTCCTTGGATCTGTTTGCCCCAGGTTGCAAATTTGCTAAACTGCAACAGAGAGGGCCATTCATATGCAAAGTCCGCTGCTTGGAGCTTGGATGTGTTGTGAGGGGTGGGGTCTCAGGGCGGAGTTTCAGGGCATCGCTAGGCTGGGGCGTGGCCAACAGCAATGGCTGCCACCCGCTGCCTCTCCGATGGTGTCTCAGCATCTCCCCACATCTCGCACCAAGCACAGCAAACAATCTCAGCTCTGCAAGCCAGCCAGCCTCTCTTTCTGACCCGATGGCAGACAGTCTAGCCTCTCCCAGAAACTGGAGTTCAGAGAGATCGGAAGCTTGTCTCTTTTCGGGTTGAAGAAAGCACCGCCCTTCACCAGCCTGGATCTGCTGCCAGCCCTTATCACGTCCTTGCCCCCCTACCTCAGTTTTTCAGTGCTTGTGCTCTGGATTCTCCTCTTTCTCTTTCAGTCTAGATGTAGGGCTTCCTCTCAGCCAGATCTCATTTGGTTTTTGGGAGAAAGACATTTATTTTATAGTTTTGACTTGTTGTGCCCGGCAGCTGTTTAGGAGTATTTACCTTCACCGCCATCTTCATTCCTCTCCTGTATAAGTTCTTTAAATATTTTTAATATTAACCCATCAGATATATGATTAGCAAATATTTACTACCATTCTATAGATTGGTTTTTCATGTTGTTGCTATTTCCTTTGCTGTGTAACTTTTTAGTTTGATATAGTCCCATTAATTAATTTTTGCTTTTGTTGCTTATGCTTTAGGTTGATCTATTCTATATCAAGGAGCTTTTCCCCTCTTTCCTTCTAGTTTTATGATTTCAGATCTTACATTTAAGTCTTTAATCCATTTCAAATTAAATTTTATTTTGTAAGATAGGGCTCGTCTCATTTTTTTACATGTGAATATCCAGCTCTCCAAGCACCATTTATTGAAGACTATCTTTTTTCTATTGAATGTCCTTGGCTCCTTTGTTAGTTGAGTGTATATGCAGGGGCTCTTGATTCTGGGCTCGCTGTTCTGTTCCATTGATTATGAGTCTTTTTTATGCTTATAAATTTTTCTTAAAAATTATTTTTAGAGAAAGGGGGAGAGGGAAAAAACCCATTGATTTGTTGTTCCACTTATTTATCCATTCATTCGTTGATTCTTGTATGTGTCCTGACTGGGGTTCAAACCTACAACCTGGTGTATGGGGAAAACACTCTAACCAACTGAACTACCAGGGCTATGCTAATGATTTTTAAGTTTTCCTTGTGCCTTCCATCACCTTATTAATATTAAGAGATATTAAGAGATCAGGAACAATCAAGTTCCTGCAATGGGCATTTTCACTGTACTAGTTTCAACTTCTATGCAGGTGCTACCTCCCTGGCAGTCTGTTTTAAAATTAGTGTCATATCTTTAAGGAGACTGAGCCTGATGGCCAGGTAATTGTTTACTCAGTTGTGTAAGTGGCAGTTAAGGGGAACAAGGCTAAATACCATACATGGAAAGTTCCAACCACCAAGGGGGAATAGATGGCTAGGGTGGGATAAGAGGGCTGGCCTGTGACTGAAGGATGCCAACTCCTGGTCTCGTAGGATGCAGCGGAATCTGAAAATGGAGATGCTAGCTGGATGTGGAGCTGGAATGTGCCAGGTGGTGGTTACCTGTCCCATGGAAATGCTCAAGATTCAGCTGCAGGATGCTGGGCGCTTGGGTGAGCCCTATCCCAACTTCACGTGGAATCAATAAAGGCTATGATCAGAATAGATTTTTACACATCTGCACTCATTTGCTAGTCTGTGTGACCCAATCAGATTTCTAGGTTAGTAGGTCTTACTTTTATGTTACCATTCTAGATTTTAACACTTTCAGCTCTAGAACAAAGATCAGAACTGAGAATATTGATTTGGGAAGGACAGAGTCTTACCCTTCTACCTCTATCTTATTGCCTTAACATTTAAGCTTGATTTCCTAAATATCTTAAGAAATGTCAATGGCTTGCTCATGAACACTTCAGTAAATAGAAGCTCTATTATGATATATTATGCTATAGATGGTGCTTTAGTGGGAATGCATAAAAAGAACCACCTTTACCCTTTTGGTTTTCTCTGGAAGAGAAGTTTGGCCCTTTGCTAAATCCTGGTCCTCTCAAAAATTTAGAGTGGAATAGGTGCCAAAGCATATATTAAAAGCAATGATCGGCTGACTAATAGAAGGAGACTAACCCTGTTGGGGTGGGACAGAGGGTTTCTTCTCAGAGCTAAACCACAATATCTGAATTTAATAAGCCAACATGTCATGTGCCCAACAGAGCACCTGGCAAGGTCTTCAATAAATATGTGTTCCCTTTCCCTCCTCAATCCAACTATGTACATGTGCTGTGCTTTTCAGGTGGAGCAGTCCAGCCTAAAGCAAATAAAACTGCAGAAATACAGTTCAGGCACTGGAAAACCCTCACTGTTTTGCTTTGCAGAGTGAAAAGCTTTGTAATGTTTTGTTTTTCAACTTGGATAAGAAGTTTTAGTATTCCTAAAATATTTTAAAAGAAGAGAAAGCTAGGCTATGGGTGAATTAATTATGTGCAACCACATTTGAAATGTTCAAGGGAAAAAAAAAATTTAATATGTTCAAGGGAAAAAAAAAATTCCATTCTATTTATTAGAATTATTAGTTACAATCCTTACAAGTAGAATTATTTTCAACTAAAATGGGTTGACATCTCGAGAATCAAATTCTATAAAATGATGCAGGGAATAAAGGACGTGATCACCTAATCTTAGAATGGTAGAGAGAGGCTCTGATAAAGTCTGAATTTTTTTTCCCCTGTTGTATTTTTGAGACAGAGAGAGAGAGAAGAAAAGAGAAACATCAATGGGTTGCCTCCCACATGCACCCCAACTGGGGATCGAACCCTCAACCTGGGTATGCACTCTGACCAGGAATTGAATCCGTGGTGCAATCTTTCATTGCATGGGATTACGCTCCAACCAACTGAAGGAGATAGTGTTTTTTAAATCCTCATCCAAGGAGTGAGGATATTTTTTACCATTGATTTTTAGAGTGTGTGTGTATGGAAGGGGGGTGGGGGGGAAGGGGTGGATGTGGAAGACAAACAGAAATATCACATTGATTGGTTGCCTCCTACATGCTCCCTCATTTGGGGCAGGTACATGCCCTTGAACAGTAATCAAATCCTTGACCCTCTGGTGCACAGGCCGATGCTCTAACCACAGAGCACATGGACCTCAGTTGAAGGAGAATTTTTAAACAAACAATAAGAATTTGCTGCTTTGTATCAGGCAAAAGACATATGGGATTCTTACACCCCAAAGACCCAATAGGATGAAACTATGTAAATAGGTTCAGAGATGATTTAGAAATGAAAGACAAATTAAAAACACAGGAGGGAGCCATACACTTGCAAATGTTTTACAGTGCCTGTTGGGGCCTAGTTTGTGATGGGAAGTCTGTCCTTACCCTTTCAGCAGTGCATCATCATGGTTCGGCCTCAGCACCTTCCTCTAGGTCCTATACCATTGGATCAGCTTCCACACATAAGCATCCATCTGCCACCATCATTGCCTGGGAGCTGCTTCGAACCCAGGGCCTGGGTGGTCTCTATAAAGGTTTGGGTGCCACTCTCCTCAGGTAAGACTTTCTTCCCAAACTTGGGATAGAGGGCCATAAGGGAATAGGGAGATTGGACAGAGGGCCAGAGGGATTGCTACTTCAACATGACCGTTTTCAAATATCTCTATGCTTCATATTTTGTTCACAATTGAGCAGGATTACAGACTGGATATCTGAAAGACTACTTTTAGGCCCCTTCTCCAGTGGCCAGGTCCACACGCCTATTGGGTGTTCTATGGCCTAAAGGCATCTAGAATGTACTGTATACACAGGACTGTGGGTCATCTATTATATAAATAAATGAATGTATATAACCCCTTCATTTTATTGTGCTACTTGGCCAAAATATTTTTTTTAGAGAGAGTTCAGTTTAAAAATTTTATTTATTTATTTATTTATTTTAGAGATGCAGGGAGAAACATGAATTTATTTATACATTCATTGGTTGCTTTTTATATGTACCCTGCAGCCTGGCCAATGTGGCTCAATGGTTGAGCACTGACTATGAACCACGAGACGGTCTTGATTCCTAGTCAGGACACATGCCTGAGTTGCAGACTCAATCCCCAGGATGGGGTGTGCAGAAGGCAGACAATCAATGATTCTCTCTCTCACTGATTATTTTCTCTCCCTCTCCCTTCCTCTCTGAAATCAATAAAAATATATTTAAAAAACCAATACCCGCAGCCTTGGATATTGAGATGATTGTCTATCCAACTGAGCTAGCCGGCTAGGGTAGGGGTTAATTTTCTAGTCTCTGGGCAATAAATGAACTTTACCTTCCTGCCCATCCCTTCAACACTTACCTTATAGCTCTTCTCCAGCCACTTGCTCAGCTTAGTAACTCTTCCCTTAGCCTGCCTACCCACTTTTATAGAACATACCGCCAGTCTTTGAATCTGTAACTGGTTCCTCATTAAGCTGCAGGTGCTGGGAGGACAGAGGAAAGAATTGGGATGGTAGGGGAAGGCAAATCAAGCTGATGCTTTCACCACACATTGTCATGGGATGCCAGAGCAGGAATACGGAATTGTAGGCTTGTCTCTGACCTATCTATAGCTCATGGGCTTACTGTATGACCTTGGATAGAAGCCCCAGAGGGGCATGAAGCTCAGTGTTTTTCTTTATCTCCTACAGAGATATTCCCTTCTCCATCATCTACTTCCCTCTGTTTGCCAACCTCAACAACCTTGGTTTCAACGAACTTACTGGGAAAGCTTCCTTTGTTCATTCCTTTATGTCAGGCTGTGTTGCAGGTTCCATAGCGGCTGTCATAGTAACACCTCTGGATGGTAAGTGCCACAAATTAGTTACCTGTAGAGTCATTTATAGGATAAGTAGTAATACTTATAAAGACAAAATAGCCCCAACCTAAAAACTCTTGGCCACTGTCAGGTCCACCCACAGAACGTGGGGTCTAGTTCTTACCACTGACAAATCCCCTTGCTTTCTAGGTACTGATTTCACTAATTTTTGTCCCCCAATAGTTGTGAGCATCAACTATAAATATCACTGATTCTTTAAAATTGAAGGCTAAAGGCAGGGGCTGCACCCTATGAGACAATGCTTCCGCTATCTTTAGACAACAGACAGCTCCTCTAACACAGGTGGATCTTCCCATAGCATGAGTGAACTAAAGGATTGTGCCGTTTCAAATTCTTTCATTCATAAATGAGGCCCAAAAAGGGGAAGCTCAATTACATATCCCACAATGATAGAGATAACCTCAGGATCCAGTTTTATGTATGCTGGCTATATCAAAAGCAAAATGTTCCCTACTAATTTTAACTTACGTTTTAGTTTTGAAAACTCGAATCCAAACTCTCAAGAAAGGTCTGGTTGAGGACAACTACAGTGGGATCACTGACTGTGCCAGGTGAGAGCCCTGTATTCCTTTACAGATGTGGCTGGGACAGTTCCCTGTGTTGGTGTGCACCTAGACTCAAACTACAGAACAGTTTTATCACTATACATTGAAGTCTGTATTTCTTTGAATTCTGTTGCTTTCCTTTACCTCAACAAAAGCAGGCTGTACTTGGAGCTTTTTTCTTTGCATCCCTACAGTATCTTTCTCCCAGAAGTCTAGCAAGTTGAGCCAATTTTCCATGGACTGAACCCAACTGCTTAGTAACCAAACTGCATACACATATTGGGGGAGGCATGGCTCCCACAGTCCTGCAGAAAGTGACACCTGTCTTCAAAGAAAATATGTACAAAGGTTGGAGGAGAGGGTGTCACTGAGCACTGCTTGTTATGCTTCTGCTCATTCAGCTCACAGGGCTCTTCTTTCTCCCCAGGAAACTCTGGATTCAGGAGGGACCATCTGCCTTCATGAAAGGAGCAGGCTGCCGGGCCCTTGTCATAGCTCCTCTCTTTGGGATTGCCCAAGGTGTCTACTTCATTGGTATTGGAGAAAAGATCTTAAAATGTTTTGAATAAATATAGCTGGAACTCAGATCCCTTCACTGGCTTCCATCTCCCTACCCACCATGTAATTTGCCCTCTAATTTGCAGTGCCACCTTAGTCTCAGAAGAAACAACCTTATTCTAATAAGCAAGCTGGCTACAGCTCTATTCTGCCTCAGAAGCCCCTAACCATCTACCTTTCAACAAAAGTAGTACATATTTTGGTTGTATTAACTGTAGACCTTAACAGACAATAAAGACAGAAGAGTTGTTTCTACATTTTACATTTTATTTCACACTTCAAGCTCAGTATACTTGAGTCATTTGGAGGATTTAGACTTGTTATTCTGAGCTAAATAACTTATGGTTAGTCCTAGCACTCATTTTGGGCAAAAAGAATCAAAAGTTCAAGGGGACCATGTAAGTCCTCAAAGTCAGCACTTAGTTTAAAACCAACCAAATCCTTTAAAATTATGGATGGCTGAGGGATAAGGCCAATTGAAACCAAGAAGCCAGGGCAAAATCGGGGCAGCCATCCTGCCCCATCTCTCTGAAAAGCAGGCTCTTAAAGACCAACTAGAGGCCCGGTGCACAAATTCATGCACCAGTGGGGGCCCTCCATCTGGTCTACGAGATCAGGCTAAAGCTGCCTCTCGACATCTCCCAAGAGATCCTGGATTGTGAGAGGGTGCAAGCCAGGCCAAGGGACCCCACCAGTGCACAATCTGGGCTAGAGAGGGATGCGGGAGGTTGACCAGCCTAGGAAGGACTCCGAGAGGGCTCCAGGTAATGTCTGGTTTGTCCTGACCATCCAGACCACATCAGGAAGCTAACCTACAGGTCTGAGCATCTGCCCCTGGTGGTCAGTGCATGTCATAGCGACTGGTCAACTGTCTTCCCTCTGGTGGTCAGTGCACATCATAGTGAGTGATTGAGCGGCCACAGCATATTAGCATATTATGCTTTGATTGGTTGAACAACCAGTCAATGGGACACATAGCATTATTAGGCTTTTATTATATATACTAGAGGCCTGGTGCACAAAATTTGTGTATGGGGATGTGTGTCCCTCAGCTCAGCTTGCACCCTCTCCAATCTGGGACATCCCTCTCATAATCCAGGACTGCTGGCTCCCAATTGCTCGCCTAGGAGTGGTTAGGTCACCCCCTAACCACTCCCCTACCAGCCTGATTGCTCCTAACTGCCCTCCCCTGCAGGCCTGGTCAGCCCTAACTGCCCTTCCCTGCAGGCCTGGTCACCCATAAATGCCCTCCCCTCCAGGCCTAGCTCCTTCCAGTTGCCCTCTATGCTGGCCATCTTGTGTTGGAGTGATGGTCAATTTGCATCTTTTATTAGATAGGACAGAGGTCTGGTACATGGATGGGGGCCAGCTGGTTTGCCCTGAAGGGTGCCTTGGATTAGGGCGGGGGTTCCCTTGGGGTGTGGGGCAGCCTGGGTGATGGGCCTATGGTGGTTTGCAGGCTGGCCATGCCCCGCTGTGACCCAAGTGGAGGCCCTGGTATCTGGGATTTATTATTTTCTATAATTGAAACTTTGTAGCCTTGAGTGGTAGCCAGGGCTGGCCATGGCAGGTAGAAAGCTTGGCTTCCTTCATTGCTGGGTGCAACCCAAGCCTCCTGCTTGCTCCGTGGCTGCCACCATATTTGCTGGGTTAATTTGCACTATTTGCTCCTGATTGGCTGGTGGGCGTGGCTTGTGAGCATAGCAGAGGTATGGTCAATTTGCATGTTTTCCTTTTATTAGATAGGATGATGTCCATGGAACACTGAAATAAAGTTGAACTAGTTATAATCTCATCTTATAATTAGCAAAGGAAGTAGATAGACTGCAATGAATAGTCTGTCTTCTACCTTTCTGTGTCCATTTCAAAACTGGCATGAAAATGAGTGGGAGGAAGAAAAGTGTTTGTTTAGGCCTAACACACAGTTAAATGCTCCCCCTCACCCTTCAACTTCCCCGCCCCCCCCCGCCCCCCCCCCCCCACACTTTAGTTGCTTTTTGACATTGCCAAAGCTAATAAAAAACTATTTCCTCAATTAAGCTGTTAAGCCCTCTAGAGGACAGATAATACTAAACAACCTTATGTGTAAGTGTGAAAGACTGTAAGGGGCTGAATGGAACATAACAGGAACAGTTCTGAGTAAGGATCTAGTAAAAATGAGCAGAAAGTGCCAGAGGACCCAGGGAGGGTTAATGGATTCAAGTACTGACAGCTGTCAACCAGAATATGCTACTGAAATTTGGACAATGGTGTCTTTTTTAGATAATTACACTTTGAAACTGCACACTTTGAGTGTCCTGCATAATAAGTTACAATTAAATTCACTTACTTTTTTTTTTTTTTTTAATATATTTTATTGATTTTTTACAGAGAGGAAGAGAGAGGGACAGAGAGTTAGAAACATCGACGAATCACTGATCAGCTGCCTCTTGCACACACCCTACTGGGGATGTGCCCGCAACCAAGGTACATGCCCTTGACCGGAATCGAATCCAGGACCTTTCAGTCCACAGGTCAATGCTCTATCCACTGGGCCAAACCGGTTTCAGCACATTTTTTGTTTTAATTAATAAAGCATGATGGCTTAGATTTGAAATCGCATTTACAGATAAGAAGCATTTCAAAGCCCAAACAGGTAACAGTGAAGCTACTACTGCTGGAAGGAATGTATGCCCCTTTAAGCTTAAAGAGCAGAGAGTTACCAGCAGAGCACACCATAAACATAACTTATAGACTAGAAACTAGAAGCAGAGGAAGAACACAAGTTTGGGTACAGTCCATGCAACCACCACCTGATTTCTTCACCTTCATGCTGCAGAACCAACTGAAAGTTGTGTTACTTTTAGATAAGCTAGAGGTAGGCTTCCTGATCATATTAAATGAAACTTTCTCCCATTGTTAACAATTAGGCTAAGGGCATTAGTATAGAAGGATATCCAAGAGTAAATATAGTGTATTAGAATAGCAAAGAAAAAGCTACATAGATCATTTTGTTTGTTCAGATATCAGAAACTTTTACATCATTACAGTGCAGGAATTCCATTTCCCAAAGGCTTAGTCCAAAAACTTCCTGTTGGCATTTGCACCAAACAAGGCTCCTCGTACTTCTGGCATCATCTGTAAAGAAATGAGATCTTTAATAAATAAGTGTTGTCAATTGGAGAACTTGGAAAGAACTGTACATCTTTTTAAATTAAAAAAAAATTTTAATGAACTTATTGAGGTGCCATTGGTTAATAAAATTATATAGGTTTTAAGTACACAATTCTATATTATCTGAATACTGTACTGTGTGTTCACCACCCAAAGCAAAATCTCCTACCATCATCATTAACACAGATGACAAGTCATGAAACTCTAAATAGCTGGGAAGAAAATCACAAAGCTAAAAGCATCAAATCTGTTCTTTAGTTATCCAAAGCACTATCACAGAATCCTCAGTGAGAAATTTAACCAATAAAAAATTTTGGGTTAAGACTAACTGCTTTAAAGGAGACAAAGAAGAGGAAAAAGCCTAAAAAACTAAATGTGGCCTGGCTAGTGTCACTCAATTGGTTGAGCATCATCATGTGCACCAAAAGTAGAAAGTTCAATTCCTGGTTACAGCACATATCCAGGTTGTGGGTTCAATCCTTGGTTAGGGTGAATGCAGGAGGCTACTGATTGATGCTTCTCTCTCTCTAAAATCAATAAAAACATTAAAAACAAAACAAAAAACTAAAGGCATTACTGTCTATGGCTTCTGTTATGTTGTGATGGAAGAAGAGCCTATTAACAGTTGCATATCATCATAATATTCTGTATCACCTACATTCTTTATTTCAAAAAATATTTATTGAATGTATATGTATCAAGCAGAAAAGATACAATGCAAGCCGTGATGAGGTACTTGCTATTGCAACTGAAAATCCTTAGGATTTAACCTCAAACGTCTAAGGCTGTGTGTTGAACAGAGTAGGCCTAGCCACATGTGGTTACTGTGTGTTTGAAATGTGGCTAGTGCATAAAGGAACTGAATTTTAATTTTACTCAAATATCCATTTGTAGTGAGTGGCTACTCTATTTGGTAACAAAGCTGTATGGTTTAAATGAAAGAAGATGACATACTCAACATCAAAGTGCTTAGCTATAAGACAGGTTAGCAGTAGACTACCACTACTGGAAGATGCTCAGCACATTGAAATAATTGAAATTTCCTGCCTTGCCCTAGCAGGTTTGGCTCAGTGGATAGAGCGGTGGATAGAACGTCAGCCTAGACCGAGGGGTCCCAGGTTCGATTCTGGTCAAAGCATGTACCTTGGTTGCGGGCACATCCCCAGTAGGGGGTATGCAGGAGGCAGATGATCGATGTTTTTCTCTCATCTATGTTTCTAACTCTCTATCTCCCTTCCTCTCCTGTAAAAAATCAATAAAATATATTTTTAAAAAAGAAAAAAAACTTCCTACCTTGTTTGCAAAAAAATTTATTTGTGCAAACATGGAAATACTTGAAGACCCAATAGCCCCATAGCAATTTCTTTAAACAAATATTTACTTTAGTTGCCATAATTCTTGCTAGAGAAACAACTGGTCAGCATCTCTACTTGCAGTAAATGTATACATTATTACAGCGTTTTTCAACCGCTGTTCCGCGGCACATTAGTGTGCCGCGAGATGTTGCCTGGTGTGCCGTAGGTGCAGACAAGACAAGAATTTTATAATTTTTCACTATTTTGTTTACTTAATATTTCATAATAAAGTAATTATAAAATACTTTCTTTGTGTTTATTTGATTCCTATTCAAGAGAATTACTTTATATATAGTCAATATAGGCACAGAGTTAAATTTTTTAACATTTTCTAATGGTGGTGTGCCTCGTGATTTTTTTCATGAAACAAGTGTGCCTTTGCCCAAAAAAGGTTGAAAAACACTGCATTATTACTCTTACATAAACAAAACCCTTTTTCTAACACCAAATCCTTCCTCAGATAAATGGTACTGACTCAGTAAATGCTTCATACCATACTTTTTAAGAAAATGTAAAAAAATAAGAATAGAAAGTAACAAATCCCAAATACCAGTGAATGGATGTGTTCTCTGTATCACTTCAAAGAAACAGACCAACAGAAGTATTCCCACACTCACCTGCTGAGCTATGAGATCCAGTCGGCTTTCTAGGGTATTGGAAACTTTTATTTTACGATCCCCATTATAGATCTCAACTCCACCAGCTCTACAAAGAACAGGGGAAATAATTTTTATAGATTTGAGGAAGATAGAAAAGTTTTGGGGTATGGAGTGTCTAAATACTACAACAGGCCAGGCTGGTATGGCTAGTGGTTGACCATTATGAACCAGAAGGTCAGGGTTTGATTTCTGGTTGGGGAACATGCTCAGGTTGTGTGCTTTATCTCCAGTGTGGGCATGCAGGAGGCAACCAATCATGATTCTTTCCCTCTCTGAAATCATGTCTCTCTCCCTCTCTGTAATCAATAAAAATAACTATATAAAAGCTGAAGCGACCAAATGACTGGTTGACTGGTTGCTATGACAAGCACTGACCACCACAGGACAGATGCTCAACGCACATTATCAGGCTCCCTCCTGTCTAGATCGGGCCTGTGGGGATTGGGCCAAAACCAGCTATCCAACCTCCCTTGAAGGGTCCCAGATTGTAAGAGGACACAGGCCAGGCCAAGGGACTCTCCACTAGTGCACAAATTCATTCACCAGGCCTCTAGTATTTTAAACAAACAAACAAACAAACAAACAAACAAACAAATAAATACTGTAAGGAGCTAATAAACCTAAGTGATAAGCTTGAAATAAATTTAAAAGCTTCTTAGGATTTAAGATATGGATGTTGATAAATGTCATTTACCAAGTGACTGCTATGTGCCAATTTGATTTTCTTAAAATAGCACCGAATTTAATTATAAAACCCAGCAAATCAGGAGGAGGAGGATTTAATCCTAGTTTACAAATTAACAGATAATGAATCCTTATATGCATATTTCCTGGAGGCCCCATCCTGCTAATTACCAGGGGTGTTAATAAGGCAAAGCTGTGTGTCAGATAAAAGATACCATTGTTAACCTTGTACCAACTCCTTAGAAAGTCCCACCTCTAGCCATACCTCACTTTTATCATTCCATTCCTCAGTTTCTCAGCACTTAACAGGCAAAGGGAAAAAGGGTCAAATTTTATTACACAGAGCCTCAGGGAATGAAATTCTTCTGCTACACCAAAATTTTACTTTTATAAAAAAATATTAAATAAGCAGGCTATGACACAAAGGGTGGGTAAGGTTTTGCAAAGTTTCTTTGGTAAATTTTAATGGACCATGACCTTATTATTATTTTCTTTCTTCATCTTCCCTCCCAGTTACTGTCTACCTGGCTAATGTCTACCTGGGAAGAACCAGAGCAGAGTACTAATAGGAAAAGACAGCCACACTTTTATCCTTACGGCAAAGAGTGTCTTGACAAAAACTCCCTTTACAACAGGCCTAGCATAAAAGCCATTCTCCTAGCGAATGAAAGCCAGATATTAAAAACAGAAATACTCCTTACATTTCCTCAGGTAGGTAGACCTCCTGATCAATTTGGACATCAACATCTTTATTGGTGGCGATTTTGTACATAGGGATTGCTTTTTGCACTGCAGCCTGGAAAAGCAGAAAATGACAGGTTTTAGCAGAAATTTCCCCGCCCCTCAAAATAAAAATAGAAATCTACAAACTATACAAGCAGCTATATATTTCAGGTAAGAGAACAGATGAATGACTAACAGAATATAAAATAGTACGACTATAGAAAACAGTGTGGCAATTCCTCAAAAAATGTAACATAGAGTTACTATATGATCCAACAATTCTACATCTGGGTATATACAAATAAGTAAAATGGTTGCACAAAATGGTTGCACAAAAATTCATGTACTTACTGTAATTAAAGCAACTGTACATTTAAAATGGTTAGTTTTTTTGTTATGTACTTTTTACCAATTTTATAAAAAAAAAGCTTACTGGGGGGGACGGGACAGATTAAAGTGAATTTTTAACTCCTATACTGCAATTATGTGATAAAACATAATCAGTGGAAAGTCCTTTGAGCAATACTGTACACACTATACAAATGTAAATGACATTTTCTTTGAAGGAACTTTAAAATTTTTCTCTGATAATATTACCAGTTTAGCAGATTTATGCATATATTCTACTCTTCCCTGCTTCTCAAATCTAATATAGCACCACTTTGGAGAAATACTCATGACACTGGATGTTAATACTTATTTAGTTTCAAGAAGAAATTTGCTTAACACCTAGCATTATCATTGTGTCATCCAAAAATGGCCAGTTGGCAGTTGGACCTGCTTCAATAGCAAGATTATCACCATAGTGAATTTTGATGAGTTTTCCTCTCTGTTGTAGAAGTTCATAAATAAGGCTGTTAGAACAACATGGATCCAAGTTACTGACACGGTTTATAAACTAGAACCATAATTTACTAATTTATCATGGAAACTAAGGGGAATGAATACCAAGTAATCTGGCTGGTACATTTTTTTCTCTAGGAGAAAAGGTATTTGGAGAGACAAATTATAGTAAGAATGAAAATATAGCCGAGACCGGTTTGGTTCAATGAATAGAGCGTCAGCTTGGGGACTGAAAGGTCCTGGGTTCGATTCCGGTCAAGGGCATGTACCTTGGTTGTGGGCATATCCCCAGTAGGGGGTGTGCAAGAGGCAACTGGTCGATGATTCTCTCTCTCATCGATGTTTCTAGCTCTCTATCTCTCTCCCTTCCTCTCTGTACAAAATCAATTAAAAGATATTTAAAAAAAAAAGAATGAAAATATATCATCCGATAGAATAAGGAGGTAATATGCAAATTGACCATCATTCTAACACACAAGATGGTCGCCCCCATGTGGACACAAGATAGGCAGCAGGGGAGGGCAGTTGGAAGCAACAAGGTCGTTAGGGGAGGGCTGTTAGGGGCAACCAGGCTGGCAAGGGAGAAAAGTTGAGGTGACCGGGCCAGCAGGGGAGGGCAGTTGGGGGCAACCAGGCCTGCAGAGGAGGTTAGTTAGGGGCGACCAGGCCTGCAGGGGAGGGCAGTTGGAGGTGACCAGACCAGCAGGGAAGGGCAGAGAGGGGTGACCAGGCTGGCAAAGGAGGGCAGTTAGGGGTGACCGGGCCAGCAGGGAAGGGCAGTTGGGGGTAACCAGGCCTGCAGGGGAGGGCAGTTAGGGATGACCAGGCCGGCAGGGGAGCAGTTAGGCATTGATCAGGCTGGCAGGGAGTGGTTAGGGGGTGATCAAACTGGCAGGCAGGCAGGCGAACGGTTAGAAGCCAGCAGCCCTGGATTGTGAGAGGGATCTCAGATTGAAGAGGGTGCAGGCTGGACTGAGGGACACCCCCCCACCTGTGTACAAATTTTGTGCACCAGGCCTTTAGTGTATTATAAATGTATTTATAAGAAATGTGATTGCTAAGAGACTAAGTGAAATCAAGCTACATTAAAGAATTTTAATCTGATAACACAGAATCATAGCTAGGGGAGTCCATTCTATGACTTGTGGTTTAACAGCCACAGGCTCCTTCACCACAGAGGGTCAACCTACTACTACAACCTACGTACATGTCATGGGGCCAGCAGGTCACCCTTCAGACCAGGGAATCTTCTTTCTTGGAAAGGGCATGGATGAGCACCTTAATATTTGCCCTTGGGATTACAGCTATGTTTACACTGCTGATCAACCTCTTTTCTGGTAGCCACCTTCTTTCTCTAGGTATAGGAATGTAATAGGTTAGAGCCACACCTTGTTAGTCTGAGAGCAGTTGCCACTTTAAGATAGTGTTAACTATGTTTGCTCAGTTCTACTAGGTGCTGCCTCTATTGTTGCATTTTCAAAAGATTACGATATTCAGAAGTCTCCAAAAAGGGGGAGGATACTAATTCAAATGGCAATGTGACCTCTTTAAGAAATTGAAAGCTGAGGTCACTTAAATGAATATCTACAATTTGTTAAAACTCCTCTAATCCCCATGGTTGAGCTGACATCTAAAGATCAGACACTCAGAAACTTAGGATGCATTTCATTCCTAAGTTACTTATCTTTAAAAAAAAGAGAATTGTTTCTTTCTCTAAGCTCTTTACCTTTACCAGAGGGAAATCCTGTTTCCGGCAACAAACAATCATCCGGGGCTCCAATAACTGGTACAAACCCTATGACACAATCAGATGCAATTATTAAGGAATAAATAGAATGTTTTTATGATTCTTCCACCTAGTTTTGAAAAGAATGTCCCCTTGTAAATTTCCCTAAAAGACAGCGCATAATATGAGAACAAGGAAACATGATCTTGTTATCACAAACCAAAAAATATACCCATTGCTCAGCTGACAGAAACAAAATTCATATGGGAGTCTTATCTTACATCAACTAAGCTGAAGACAAATATTATTGGCATAAGTAAATAAGAATTCACAGTCAAGCAGTATAGAGTTAAAATGTATACAGTCTTTGGGCTGAACCTCAATATCAAAAGCAAATATTAATGATAAAATCAAATTAGGAAAACTAATTTAAAGCTTTAAAGGTTAAAGCTGAAGCCCAG